AGCTAGTTAGTTACATTCAGGATGTGGGGTTTGGGAGAGGACAAAAAAGTGACTGGGACAGGACTAGACAGGGAAGAGTCCAAATTTTGACTGAGAAAGATGTGAAAAGACCTTGTTCTTCAAAGTTTGTAACTTGCCTGTTCATCTACCTGCACTGCTTGGTTACTGGAAGCTAGCCCAAGGGTGCATTATTATGCTGTGCTCCAAAAGAATCTTTCTTGGGATTCTGAGCCTAAGAGCTTGTTTCTAAGAGTATCAGGTAGTTTAATAAAAGCTATTACCTCTTTCTAAAAACCTTGCCTCTCATCTATCTTTAGGCCATCAGTGGCACAGTATACCCTCTTCTCCTCTTCTATTCCATCACAGTAAATCATGTAAATAAAGAAATTCCTCTGTGCTTCATCCAGTAGCAGCCTAACTGTATACTGTGCTGCTAACCCTTATGAAAGCAATCAATACTACCTTGGGAATTTGCCACTGTTTTATTTCCAACAGCTTAATGTGAACTGTGCAGTCAAATGCACTCCCACAAATATCCTTTGAGGTCCTGTCATTAAACAGCAAAGTAAGATAGCATAATTTCTGGCAGGTTCTATTTCTATCGGGATGGCTTTTCCTTGTACGCAAGTGTTGAGGTGACAAATACCTTGTAAAAGCCTGAAGCGGTTTAGATGGATTAAATACTCAAAGGAGTATTTAATATTTTATTACTATAGGGTTTTATTAGACCGAACTCGAGTTCATTCTCGGTGTTCAGGAGACAGGCTTCTCAGACATGGAATATCATTAAGAATTTGGCAGTTTTGTCAGGCTGTGAATTTCAGGCATGCTGAGGAAGATGATGGAAAACAAATATTAGCTCTTTTCAATTCAGCTGTCAGTCATGAATTGCCTCAAAGCTAGAGTTAGAAGTCAATGCCCAAGTACGATGCCTGTTATGTGTCTGGGGGTAGTCCATGTCTAAGTTACACTGAGCAGATGTTCCTTTCACTCTGAAATGTGCCATGCTTGAAGAGGGGGGGCAGATGTGCCTTCATCTTTTAACGTACGTGCAGGCAGCAATATTAAAATTAGCACAAATAAAGAGGCCTTTTTTAACTTTGGTTTATTTTCTCCTGAACTAAAATAGAATCAAAGTAACTTTTCAATTCACCAGTAGGTACAAAATACAGTAGTCAATCAAAATATGATAGAAAGTATTGGAACCATTAACTTGACTATAATTTCATTGACCGGCCCTTGCAAATAGTTGAAGAGGTTAACCCAGCATGTAATGAACAGAATGGTGGAGGCCCCAGGCAGGGTGGAACTGGTGCTATTCACATGTGTTTCCAAAACAAATGATCTACAGACTATCGCAGCAGTATTTGTTGTAAGCTTAAAATTAATTTTACATGTAGAGGATGATCTAGGTCTTATGGCAGCACCTCTGCCCAAGGAGACAGGATGCAGAGTGACTGCAGATCCACAGCCTGCTGGACTACGCATTGCCAGAATCTGCAGGTGCTTAGGCAGCTTTCAACCTTACTGGATATCTGCAGCTTTGGGAAGCAAAGAGGCTTTAGTGTAGCTATAAGTGATCACTAATTTAAAGTGTGTTTTTGATAAATCTGCATATTTGCCTGTTCAAAAAATGTTACTGAACCTTACATTTAGTTCATTATCCTGTAGCATAACGAACCTTCCTATTCTTGATGAAAGCTCATAAAGAAATGTGTACACTATAGTTGTGCATTTCTGCAACTGTAGATTACAAGAAGAATGCAACCAGATTAAAGTCTATTTGTGTATGTATAGGTGCATGTGTATGCATGAGCACTCTAAAATTCAGTGTACATAGAAGATATACAAAGAGGAACAATATATGCTTTCTGGGAGTCAATTAAATGTTTGCATTATTGACACCTATAATTAATTAATCATTGGGGATCATTGACAGGTTCTGTTAATCATGTGGACTGGAGTTGCTCTACTTCCTCCTCTTTAAAGGGCAGCACTAGCATTTTAAAAACTAGGGAGGGACCAAAAGATATTGCCAGAACATTCAAATGAAGATCTTGATTTTAAGGGAAGAGAAAATGTAAATGTGAACAGAGATGCATGGAGAGATTAGGTGCAAAGGGTATGTGCTTCCTCAGTTGCCTATTTTCCTCTTTGAAGGCAAATTTTGGGGTGGACATGTTTGCGTAAGAATTGGCATTCTTGCCTTGAGGCAGGTAAGCATCCTAATAGCATAATATATGGATGATACACAGAATGAGGGGCCTTCTAAAGTCTAGTCAGCTGTAAATGGAGTTTCCCTTTTATTTCTTCTTACCTGACACCAAAACCGTTTTATCTGGTATGCCCACCATGTAAGCATGTATTTAATTTTTTTCTTTAAGAGCTGTCTACTGTTCAGAGTGATTTTGAAGTAACTCAGTCAACTAAGCACTTCTTTCTGAGAGGTGAGCCTTAAAATGGAGGTAGACAAGGATGTAAGAGCTTCCTCTAAGCTGATTCAAGAACAGGACTTTTCTGCAAATGGTAATTCTTCCAGAAATTAGCAAAGCCAGGGACTCATTGGCATTTAAGAGGCTGACGAGATTTTCCAGTCCTCATGAGTTTCCAAGGCATTGGTAGGGTTTCTTGACTTTTTTAAAAACCTATCTCCTGTAACTCGTTTTCATTTCTGAAATTTATGTTTAGGTTTCAGATCTGCCATTTACTGGTTTTCTTTTCCTGCTTCCTTCTCGCCAGGCTTCAATAACAAGAACATTATGCCACTGGACCATACATGCTGCAGTATAGCCTGGGTGTTTCGCTCTTAGGCCTACGCGTACACGGGATGTCACTCACCATAGGTACTACTTCAGATTAAAGATCAAAAAATCACTCAACCATTTAGCACTGTCTGGAAATATTATTACACAATCAGCATATGATGCATTTTAATAGTATTTCTGTGAGCAGTTCATCTTCTATAAAAACTGTGCCCTGACTGTCACAAAGTGTAATTTTATGCATGACCTCAATGGCTGAACCTCCCAGAGTCATGTAAGAAAAAATGACTTCAGAGTAATCCTGCTAGATAAGGTAGTCAGATAAACAGACTCAGGGCATTAGGCATGATCTGTTCTCCAGCTGTGTACACCTTCAAGTGCTGGCTGCCTTAAAACGTTGCACAGATTTTTTCTGCTAAAAAAAAACCAACATTCAAACGCCAGTTTTGAGAGGGCTTTTCCATAATAAGTTGATTTATTTTTTTTCAAGTTAAAATAACAAATAAAAAAACAGTTTTGAGAATTCAGAGGTAAAAATGCCCTATAGGATGAATGGAGACTGCGCTCAGGTTAAATAGCACCGGTCTTGTATGCAGTCATCTTATAAAGGAGCAGTCTCCTGCCAGAGAAAGTTTCTTTCAGACAGGTAACCATCTGTGAGTTCTAATTTCATCTCTACCACCTCCTTCTTCATGGTATCAAGTGCCTCCACTTTTCTGCATCATGGGATTCTTTTTTATGTCTGCAGAAGAGTGATGCAATATTCATCTCCCTATGAGAACAAATCTGATAATGTATTTAGTTTCTAAAGGTTACATTTTACATCTTAGCTGAAGGCAGTTTCATCTCCAGATTCCTGCTAGAAGACTTGAAGGCAAAAATGACTTGCCCAGATGCCTTGGGAGTGTTTTCCACATGGGCATTTAACATTATACCATATAACTTGCACTATCTGGCATGCCTTCCTTAGAGAAAGGAAGAAGGAGATTTTGTGGGCTGTGAGTGGTTTAGGTGGGCAATTCATTTTTCGTGGGCTTTAGCTTTTGCCTTGTAGTCACCTAAGGCTGTAATTAAATTAATACCATCAAAGGCAATGTCTGATATTTCCAAACACACAAAGCCCACAACGCTACAACCCACAAGCAATTGAGGAATACGTCTTTCTTCAACAGCACTTCTACAGGTCTTTGTGGCCTTTGGGTGCCAAAGTCTTTTTATTATACTAACCTGCATCAGTTCAAAGAGCTGGAGTAACCAGAAACACATCCATTTCGACAACACCCAGGAGTTGTCATCATATAGTGATGTCTCAAAGTAGGGAGAAGGAAGTATAAAAGCCATAATGCAGCAGTTATTCCTAACTTGCCCGAGGCAAATCAGCCTTTTGCATGTATTTTTTGTCCAGGCTTGTAGCGATCTGTGCAGTCTGAGAGATATGCCTGTGGGAGGGTTCATCTCTGACTTCTTTCAAGCTGCATTTTACACTGAAAGAAAAGCTCATCCTTTTCACATTAGACAATTGCCCTCAACCCTTCCTAGTGTTACCTGGAGAAGACTATTAGTATGAAACATAATGAGAACAGTATCCTTCTAATAGGGAGAGCCTCATAGAAGATTGTTTCCTAACAGAGACCTTACTTGTGGATTCAAAAGCAGAAACTGTGAAACTCTGCCAGCCATTTTCTTTGTCGTCCTTGTGAATTATGCAGCTAGTAAAGCTTTGATGTTGATTGGAATACTTGACTTTCCTGTACCTGTCTAATATCATGATTATACTTCTGTATTTGATCAAAATGAGGAATCTACATTAAAGAGGTACACCAACTACCTCCTAGCTTGATTAAAAAAAAAATTCAGATGTTTCTACAGGGCTGTAACACTTAGAAAGTAAGTCCCACTCCACGTTCAAGTTTAGCTTTTGTCATAAGAACAACTGTAATGGCCTATTTTACATAATATTGTAACAGATGGAAGTTCAGTCTTTCATTCTAAATTTCAACATAGCTCCAAACTTGCAGTTAAGAAATTACTGTCGCTACAATTAGGTACCTTTAATTGAATCTCTGACACTTACTTAATTATAGCAGCACTACAGACACACTATGAGAAGCAGTAAAATCAACTATGACACACCCCTCCTAGTTTCCCATTGGATGGAAACTTGCTAGGCTTGATGGGTAGGTGCTGTAGTCAGAGGGGATTTAAAAGCAAATGAATATCAGGTCCTCCTAACCAGTCAGAAATGGATTTCTACCTGTTTGAACCTCAGGATGGAGCAAGCTGCTTTTAAAGCACTCTAAGGACCTGCCTTATGAGGAAACTACTGGAGAAAATATTTCCTTTCATATTTCATATTTCTTCTATGAAAAAGTGATTTTGGAAGACCTCCTAGGCCACCTTGCTTGAGGTGTCTTTCAGAAGAAGCATGGCTTACTTTGTGTTACAAATTGCTGGTCTAATACTTGGAGGTATCGGCATGGTTGGGACTTTGGCAGCCACATTTATGCCACAGTGGAGAGTTTCTGCCCACATTAATGGAAATATTGTGGTGTTTGAGACCATCTGGGAAGGACTGTGGATGGCCTGCGCCAGTCAGCTGGGCATCAGGCTGCAGTGCAAATTCTATGACTCTATCCTGTCTCTTTCCCCACCCTTGGAGGCATTCAGAGCCCTCATGTGCACTGCAGTGGTCCTGTCAATCATTTCCTTTTTGTTGGCCATTGTTGGTGTGAAGTACACTCGCAGGAACAAGGGCATCAGTATCTTCATATTGGCAGCTGGACTTTCCTTCCTACTGACCGGCATCCTTGTTCTGATCTCTGTGTCCTGGAGTGCAGGTAGCATCATTCGCGACTTCTATGATCCAAATGTCCCTACACCACTGAAACGAGAGCTAGGAGCTGCTCTATATGTGGGGTGGGTGAGCAGTGCACTTCTCATCATTGCGGGAGCAATGTACTCTATCTTCTGGTGCTGGGCTGATGCATCCTTAAAATCCAAGTATCCATCGCTTTCTTGTCACAGTTTGCGCAAACCTAACGTTTCAGGAGGGCCATCCCCAAGTGTGCATGCCTATGTATAGTTGCTACATGTGATCTTTCTGCTTAGTATGTCAATATGTACTGGTTGACTTCAGTATCTAATTAAACTGTGAATCTGTAATGGAGGGGCAATTTAGTTCATTTGCTATTTACTATTGCCATACATATCTGCTCTCTGCCATGAATACAGGGCATATTATCATATGGGCATTACGTTAGAGCACAGTCAGAAGAAAAATCTAACCATTTTATGGGAATGAAGAGCGGCATGGGAACAGCAGCAGCCAGAAGTCTCTCAGAGAAGACAAACAACATATGGTTGGACTGGAAGGCAGGCAGCTGCTGTGCAGTAGCACCATTGCCCTCCCCTAAACCCATGATGTGTAAAGAGGGCAGTGCATTTTACTCTAAGGTAAAGTCTTCGTAAGGATTGCTTTAGGACAGTAGTGAGCAGAATGGAGTTGGCAGCATGGCTGAAGCAGCTGTTGAATGAATGGAGAAGCTGCCAGCGATCTAACTTCCAATATCGGCACACAAATGATCATGCTTTCTCATGAGAAGCCTCTGTGATTGACTATGGATTTCATTGATGCTTTTGGAGTTGTTGTATCCTTGTTATTTCTTCTGCAGGGCACAGAATCTAGCTCATGAAATAATAAAATTTTTAAACACTTCGCCAGATTTTGCCATGAATGTGTTATCTTCCCGTTGCTTGTGCTGTCTCTTTTTTTTTTATGGCTTCTCCTGTTCTATAGGTAGCATCTACTCTTCTATAAAATTCAGAATAGACCATCTGTCTTTATGCACTTTAAAGCACTGTGCTAATGTAAAGTATAATTAAACAAGCTAGGCAATGTGATTGTGTAATTCCCACTTGGCCATTGGAGGATCAAGTGTTCCTGCTTATATCTTCCATCACACCCACAAAAACCAAGCCCTGATATTGTTCTGGCTGCTTCATGTTCGCAAGACTTATTTGAACATGTAGACTGAGCAGCCTGATGCCTGTCTATTCACTATGCAGAATTCAATAGTGTTTGCAGCCATGCATTTATTTTTCACAGCTGAAGACTTGGAATCTGCTTTTAACAGTGTGCATGTCACAACACTGATAAATGACCAAAGAAGAGCTAATTCAGAACACTTTTTTTTCTGGTTCTTTACACAGTAGTAATGGATAGTATAATTTCACTGATAGTTTCATGACACAGATACTCAGTTTGATCCTTTCTTGTGTCTGTGACTGGTATGTGTAAAAAAAGGGGTCTAATGACTTGTTGAGCAGAGCCTCTTTACGTTCATTTGACTGTTAGCTTGGAAGCAGAACATGGAAAGGTGCATTTAGTTAAATAAACCTTTTATTAACTTGACTTCAGATGAACTTAAATGAAACAGTGCTGTTGAACACAGATATTCATTACATATATTAACTAATGTGCATTTCCATCTAAGACAACCAGCTTAGATCTTTTAATGGGAATTTTCTAGTCACCATAAAACAGGTTTAATGTATTCTGCTCATCACTTGAGCAGCCAAATCCGCACTTACTAATTCCAGGTAAACCTTTAAGAGAACATTTTTAGGTAGGATTTCTAGTAATAAACATGTATTTTTGAAGTCTGTCACAGCAGCTCTCCTTGGATCAGACAGCTCATTTCAGTGGAGTCCTTCTGTTGACTTTGGCAATAATTTATACTTCTCTGAGGACCTCCTCCTACTATTTTATTATGTCTTATAATATATATTTTGTTTAATAAAGAACTATTTGATAAGTAAGTCAGAATTGCACTTTTTGGATTCATTTAGCTATGACACTTGTGATTAACAAAGCAGATGATGAAGATATTTGCAATGCAAATTTGATACACATTTATATGTAGGTAATGGATTTAAATGCTGACATATTCAGTGTAATGCAACTTTATGCAGATTTAAGTGCTTAAGAAGTAATTAAGTACAGTTTTCTATAAAAATAATTAAAGGATCTGGAATGCCTTTACTATCAATGGGTTCATCTAGGAATCAAATTTGAACTGGGTGTGCCCTTTACACTAGTAACTTTATTTTCAAAGAGTTGGAAGATAAAGCTGCTTTATTTGAACATTTAACATGAATTTCAAAGAAAACCTAAGCTTTTTACATCTAACATGAACACCTGATGGCTACATATTGTTCCATTTCTCTTTTTAGCAGTTGATCAAAAGATGAGTTCAAACAAAATCTCTAAGACCATTCAACCTTGTGCTTGCATGTGGGTTTGGAGTCTGTCTGTGATTCCAAGTGTAAAGAAACATAGAATCATAGAATGGTTTGGGTTGGAAGAGACCTTCAAAGGTTTAGTCTAACACCCCTGCAATGAGCAGGGACATCATCTAGACTAGGGTGCTCACAACCACACCCAGCCTGGCCTTGAATGTCTCCAGGGATGGCATATCCACCACCTCTCTGGGCAACTTGTTCCAGTATTTTACCATGTTTATTGTAAAAGATTTCTTCCTCATGTCCAGCCTAAATCTCTGCTCTTTTACATTAAAACCATCACTGCTTATCCTATTGTGATAAGCGCTGGTGAAAAGTCTCTCCCCATCTTTCTGATACACCCTTTATAATATTGAAATGCCTCAATAAGATCTCCCTGTATTCTTCTCTTCTCCAGGCTGAACAATCCCAATTCTCTCAGCCTTTCCTCATAGAAGAGGTATAGCTAGGCTGAGCTGCTCCTGGGATGTTTGGGATTTTATTGGCACAAACCTCAATTTCTGGTGATGTGATTTACCACTTCAGACTCACCCGAATATGTTTGAGTCTGTGACACTAAAATTTGTGAATTAGATGCAGAAACAAATTTCTCATGAGAAAATAATCTGCAAGAGTGTGGTTAAACTTCTGCCTTTAAACAGAACAGAAGAATTATTTCTTTATTGTGGATTCTGGTGGAGAAAACCCCTTGAAGATGACTACTTAGGTATTTTACCTGTGTATGTGAGGAATGCATTTGGCTGAGTAAACTGCATGGGTGCATTTGTGCCTGCTAAGGGAGACAGAGGCTTTTCTTCTTTTTCCCCTATTCAAAACCTGTGATGCTCAAAACTGACTTCTTGGTAGCTGCAGTTTGGAGATGTAAGTGAAAAAATGAAGTTTTAAGGGCTTTAATGAAAAACTGCAGTTGAACTTTGAAAATAAACTGCTGTTCATGAGGTTTTTTTGTGGGTAACAGGAAGAGCTCATCTTGAGGGGAGTGATGGAGGAGCTTACACAGATGTCTACTGCCCAAGGCTGCATCTTCTACCCCCAGTATTCTGCTGCAGCAGTGTCCCTGTCCCATTTGGATTATATGCACATAGACCTGTCTCAGGTTACCCCAACTGTCTAAGGTGACTCTTGGAACTTATTTAGATGGTTTGACATGACCTTCCTGAGTGAGATGGGTGAGGAGAGGATGCTAACAAACATGTAATGCAGCAAAGACACTTGAGGAAAGGAAACCTCTACACACACTGTGTGATGGATGACCAAGAGGAAGCAGGGTGTACGTAATTGCTACTGACTGTACTTTTCTCTCAGAAGAAAAGGCCTGATGTGGGTGTCACCTGATGTGGGTGGGCCAGGGATTACTAAAACATTGTGTTGGGTCTTCATGTGCTGAAGCTCTGTTTTCATTGGGGAGTGGAGGCTGTGAACTTGCTTTAGTGATGTTATGTTCACATTCCTTGAGGTACAACTGCCAGGAAATTCAGTCCTGCTGTGTTTGTTAACAACAACTGATTAAATATTGTGGTTAAATATCTAGTTTAATATCCTGATGCTATCATATATAAACTTAGCTAGAGGTATTAAAGATAACAGGAAGGGATTCTACAGGTACATAGCAAATAAAAAACAGACTAGGGAGAATGTAGGCCCCCTCAGGAAGCCCTCAGGAGAACTGGCTACACAGGATTTGGAGAAGGCTGAGGTTCTGAATGACTTCTTTGCTTCGGTCTTCACTGGCAAAGGCTCTGACCAAACCACCCAAGCCTTGGAAGGCAGATGCAGGGACTGTGAGAATGAAGACCTTGTGCTCACTGTAGGAGAGGAACTGGTTCGAGACCATCTTAAAAATCTGAACATGCACAAGTCCATGGGTCCTGATGAGATCCATCCTTGGGTCCTGAAGGAGCTGGTGAATGAAGTTGCGAAGCCGCTGGCCATCATATTTGAGAAATTGTGGCAGTCAGGGGAAGTTCCCGATGACTGGAAAAAGGGAAATATAACCCCCATTTTGAAGAAGGGGAAAATGGATGACCCGGGGAATTACAGACCAGTCAGTCTCACCTCTGTGCCTGGCAAAATCTTGGAGCAGATTCTCCTGGAAGGCATGCTAAGGCACATGAAAATCAACAAGGTGCTTGGTGACAGCCAGCATGGCTTCACTAAGGGGAAATCCTGCCTGACCAATTTGATGGCCTTCTATGATGGGGCTACAGAACTGATGGACAGGGGCAGCACAGTTGATGTCATCTACCTGGACTTGTGCAAAGCGTTCGACACTGTCCCACATGACATCCTTGTCTCTAAATTGGAGCAACATCAATTTGATGGATGGACCACTCGGTGGATAAAGAACTGGCTGAATGGCCACACACAAAGAGTTGTCATCAATGGCTCAGTGTCCAGCTGGAGACCAGTAACGAGTTGTGTCCCTCAGGGATCGGTGTTGGGACCGGTCTTGTTCAACATCTTCGTTGCTGACATGGACAGTGGGATTGAGTGCGCCCTCAGCAAGTTTGCTGATGACACCAAGCTGTGTGGTTCAGTTGATACCCTGGAGGGAAGGAATGCCATCCAGAGGGACCTTGACACACTTGTGAGGCGGGCTGATGCCAACCTCATGAAGTTTAACCATGCCAAGTGCAAGGTCCTACACCTGGGTGGGAGCAATCCCAGGCACAGCTACAGGTTGGGCAGAGAAGAGATTCAGAGCAGCCCTGTGGAGAAGGACTTGGGGGTGTTGGTTGATGAGAAAATGAACATGAGCCGGCAGTGCGCGCTTGCAGCCCAGAAAGCCAACCGTATCCCTGGCTGCATTAAAAGGAGCGTGACCAGCAGGTCGAAGGAGGTGATCCTGCCTCTCTACTCTGCTCTTGTGAGACCTCACTTGGAGTATTGTGTGCAGTTCTGGTGTCCTCAACATATAGAGGACATGGAACTGTTGGAACAAGTCCAGAGAAGGGCCACGAGGATGATCAGGGGACTGGAGCACCTCCCTTATGAAGATAGGCTGAGGAAGTTGGGGCTGTTCAGCCTGGAGAAGAGAAGGCTGCGTGGAGACCTCATAGCAGCCTTCCAGTATCTGAAGGGGGCCTATAGGGATGCTGGGGAGGGACTCTTCATTAGAGATTGTAGCGACAGGACAAGGGGTAATGGGTTAAAACTTAACCAGGGGAAGTTTAGGTTGGATATAAGGAGGAAATTCTTTCCTGTTAGGGTGGTGAGGCACTGGAATGGGTTGCCCAGGGAGGTTGTGACTGCTCCATCCCTGGCAGTGTTCAAGGCCAGGC